GACCTGCCATTGTGTATCTATTCCTACCAAACCCAGCTGGTGGAAGCAGATGGTCCTCTAGTCCTGATCCTGGTTCTGCTAAAGGTTTCTTCCTCATGAGGGAGTTTTTCTTTCCACTGTCGCCTTCATGCTTGTTCAAGATGAGAGTTCAGTGATGGAGTTAAACTCAAAGCTGCTCCTCACATAAATAATGTTCAATTATTATTTTGTAGTGAACTCGGCCTCCGGTCAAAACCTGCCTCTGAGGACCTTCATGGGACAGGAACTGTTATTTCATTGATTTGAATCCAGAAATACAAATTAGCTCATCCAGAGACTTTCTAATTGTATCCTGAACTAATCAATTGAAAGAACACTCTCTTTTTATATTATCATTACTATTTTACAAATATCTTGATAATCAAAGTGTGTTTAGTTCAAACCATTTTAAATGTTGAAGTGAACCACTCATTGTAAATCAACTGTGAAACAGTATTAATGATTTTTTAATCCTCATTCAAAGTAGAAATCAAGTTAAATGTCTGTTACAAAGTAATTATGCATTTTGATCTTCTGTCTGAAATGAGAAGTAGTGATGTCGGTTGAAAGTCAGAAAGAAGTTATTAGAACGAAGTGGATTGTTTTTAAACCTAGCAGACGGTAAATAAGAAGCTACTGGCATCTGCTTCCTCCCACTTCGCCATAACATTTCTCTGTCTGTTCCTAAACATCTCCGCTGTTTTTCTGACTTGTAGTAACCCTCTTACGTCACTAAAACCACACCCCTGTTGGTTCTTTCAACCAATCAGGACTTCCCAAAAGGGACCGGAAGCAGAACTCTTTAAAAGTCGACACTTCCTAGTTCCAGTTAGTTCTGGGGGATGAACCGAAGTTCTGGAGAGAACAGAAGTTCCATGGAGAAGGAAGACAGTGCGACTTTGCAAGGGTGAAGTCCACGGTGGTCATTTTCTAAAGATGACACCTGTCTGGAGTGTTGGTTCAGGTCATCACGCCAAAGACCTATTCAACATCTCAGGAGTTCAGCACGTTTGCTGAAATTCCACTTAACTTAACCCTATCCTTCGGGGAAGTTTATTTTGGAAGCTGGGCCAGTCAGCCTCGTGGTCCCAAGTTGATGAGAAGCGGATATAAATCCCTGGAGGTAAAAAGACTCAGCCTTGCTGGACGCCAGGAGAAGGCCTCTCTGAAACCCCACCAAGGTAAAGAGCCGACGCTCGGGTACCATCTGGCTGAAATCACTGGGAAACGTGCTATCTGGTTTCAAACAAGATAACTCCCCATCTTTTCTTTATTATCTTAGTTAACCCTAAGTATCCACTTTCCCTTCTTAAACTTTACTCCATCTCTATATTTCTCTGCCAGTAAAAGATAAGCTAAAGCCTGCAGACATTAATTTAAGATCTAAGGATATGTCTGTTGTTTTTATTAAGTAAAACGTGCCAAGTTTTATTAATCAGATCCGATCAGAATAATCAAGTGTACAATGTTTTGATGTTAAATTTTGATTCTGTTAATAAATGACCACATTCATTTTGATGGGTCAAAGAAAATTAACGTCTCATGTCACTGATTAGAGCATCTCCAACACAGTACCTCTGTCACATATCTGTCAAGTAGCTCGAAAAAGAGAGAACCCGTTATTAAATATTGATTGTAGTGGAGCTCCTAAGCTAACTGAAGCTAACCTAGCCCTACATCACTACAATTTATACATGAATGTTTCTGTTAAATTATTATTTTATACATGAATGTTTCTGTTCAATTATTATTTTATATTTGAATGTTTCTGTTCAATTATTATTTTATACATGAATGTTTCTGTTCAATTATTATTTTATATTTGAATGTTTCTGTTCAATTATTATTTTATATTTGAATGTTTCTGTTAATTATTATTTTATATTTGAATGTTTCTGTTCAATTATTATTTTATACATGAATGTTTCTGTTCAATTATTATTTTATATTTGAATGTTTCTGTTAATTATTATTTTATATTTGAATGTTTCTGTTCAGGCCCTGAGACGATTCTGTTGTGACTTGGAGTTTAGAAATAAACCGAACTGAATTGAAAAACTGAATGGCCTCCCTGCTGTATCCTGTGACCTTTGACCTATGCCTCCTGACTATGACCTTTGACCTAAGTCTTGAGTTTGAGATGAGTCGAGTTTAACTTTTTTGAACATAGTTTAATAAAAGAATAAACAAAGTTATATAAAAAGAAAATACATTTAAAACATAAGCAAGCAGAAATAAGAAAAACAACAGTAAAATATATTTCCACGTTCAAAGGAGTGGGTTTAAGTATAAACTTATTGTTAAACCCCCTCTCTTACATCTATTCATGGTAACTTGGTTATAACATTCAGTTTTAGTATTTTATATATCCATATCTACACAGTGCATTTATATTTGCATGCCATTATGATCAAGCATCAATTTTTTAACATGTTAAAATTCTTTCTAGATCAATATATCATAATGCAGTAATAATTGATAAATTCATTAATTGTTAACATCATTGATAACAGCAGTAATAACGTCATTATTTCCATATTGATATGCAGAGATGATCATCTTCTGAAATGAAACAGTTTAATGTTTGAACATTTCTTGATTTCCATGATTAAACCGTTCCACAGCTTCGCCCCACGTACTGATACACACAATATTTTTATTGTGGTTCTGAATTTTAAAGTTTAAATTCACCTTTTCCTCTTAAATGATAAAGTCCTTCCTGTTTTGAGAAAAGCTTCTGAATGTTTCCTGGTAAGAAATTATTTTTTGCTTTAAACAAGTTAACAGCTGTTTGTAATTCCACAGTGTCAACAACTTTCAGCAGCTTAGATTTTATGAACAGTGCGTCTGTATGATCCAAATAATCGACCTTATTGATTACTCTTACTGCTATTAATGACTGGAGTGAAGTTCTGTAGATGTTGCCCCATAACTCTGCACAATAACTCAAATGAGGTAGGACCAGGGAGCAGTAAAGGATGTGGAGAGCTGTTTCCTCCAGGACACGTTTGGATTTATTTAAAATAAAAAGACTTTTTGACAGTTTAGTTTGTATCTATCTGATATGAGGTTTCCATGTTACTTTATCATCAATAATGACCCCAAGAAATCTATAATCTTTTATTATTTCATTGTTTACACCATATCTTTATGTTGATTTCTTTATGTAAACCACTATTCCCAAATAGCATTATTTTTGTTTTGGTCAGATTTAAAGACAACTTATTCTCGTTAAACCATAATTTCAGTTTGTTCATAGTTTTAGTTACATCATCGATCAACTGCTCCATATCATCTCCAACAAAAAAGACATATGTGACATCTGCAAATAAAACAATTTTAATATTTTGAGTTATATAGCATAGGTCATTTATGTAAATAATGAATAATTTAGGCCCCAACACTGAGCCCTGAGGAACCTCACAAGCAATGTCCAAACAATCAGAAACAATATTTTCCATCTGTACATATTGTTTTCTGTTTTCCAAGTAACTTTGACCCAATTTAATACGGTCCTTCTCATCCCATATATTTCCAGTTTATTTATTAATAAATCATGATTTATTGTTTCAAATGCCTTTTTTAAATCCACACGTGGTCCTGCACAAAGCTTCTTATTATCAATTGCCGATGTAAATTCTTCATTAGATTCCAGTTTGGCTAATGTTGTTGATCGTTGTGATCTGAATTCGTATTGACTTTCATCATCAGTTTATACTTTTCCTTGAATGATTCCAGCCGCTTATTAAACAATTTCATATTTTTGAAAACTGTGGCAGCGAACAAACCGGTTTTTGTTGTTTTCTTATCTGAGGCAGAGCAGACTGACGGCTCATGAAGATGGAGACATTTTATCCCTAGCAGGTGCAGGGGGTGGGGGGGTGTTGATGGTGGCCTTGGCCCCTAGAGATTAATTGTTGGCCACCCCAATCATTTGAGAAAACTTTTAAGCGAAATAAAAACTGGAAAGCTTCGTTTCCTCCACTGATGGTGGTGGTTTGTTCCGTGTGTTTGGGGGCAGACTTCTTAGTTTAGCTTTCTGTATCGTGACCTTCTTGTATTTACCTGATCATTCTTTTACTTCACTTCTTTTTCTTCTGTTTGGATCTGGTCCAGTTTGTGTTTCTAGTCACTGGTGTTATTTCTTATTCCCCCTCAGTCAGTCTCGTCAGTGTCTCTTGAATCCGTCACGTCTGTCCCCACGAGTCATTTGGCGCTTTGCCGCTGCCTCAACTCTCCTCAGCTCCGCCCCACATCAGTTAAGGGCCCGCCCACTCAGCCTGGCTTTTGGGACCATCTTGTTGGTGCTTCCGTGTGGGCTGCTCCGATGGCCCGGCTATGACATAAGCAGACAGCAGCCGTTGATTGGCCTGCAGAGCTACGTCACTGACGTACGTCACACCATAAAGGAAACTGGTACCTCACTTATCTCTCAAGCTATGATAAGGTCCTGGACTCGATCCCCGGTCATTGCTCATCTCCTGGTGTCTCTGAGCAGGACACCTGATCCCAAATTGCTAACCTGATCCCAAATTGCTCCCCGGGTGCTTACAGAGCTGCCCACTGCTCCACCTGGCTGTATCCCAGGTGCAATGGATTAAATGCAGAGAGACAATTTTGTCTTTGTATGGGAACATGCTGTACAATGATGACATCATAGCACTTTATTATTATTACATGGACAAACTGACGGACGGATGGACGGATGGATGGACGAACTGATGGATGGATGGACAGATGGATGGACGGACTGATGGACGAACTGACTGACAGACGGACGGATGGACCAATGGACGGACGGACAGATGGACAGTTTACAGTTTGTCTACAAGAACCTTTTCAGAGAAGCTGCTCGTTGAACCGCTTCATGCCGGATGAAAATGTTCAGTTTCTCAGTTTGTGGCGTTTCCTGCAGGACAAATGTTATAACTCAAAGTGTGAACTTGATGTTTTTATCTTCTTTACACAGCGCCCCACCCTCCTCCACCATGAGCCTCCCCTCCAGACCCATGCTGGGGGACGAGGTCTGCGAGGACAGCACCTCTCTGGTGTCTCTGGACTCCAGCGTTTTCTTCAGTGAGAAGTCCAGCTTCAGAGACACGCTCGGTGTCTTCATCATCAACGTGGGGGGAAGTCGGTACATGCTGTCTCAGGAGCTGCTGGTGTCCCATCCAGAGACCCGGCTGGGACAACTGGTCCTCTGCAGCCGAGACTCGGCCCTGGAGCTCTGTGATGACGCAGACTTCCTGAAAAATGAGTTCTTCTTCGACAGAAACTCACAAACATTCCAGTGAGTGGCATGATTATCCTCCCTCAGGGGTCAGGTCTGGCCCACAAACCTTGCAGACCTCAGTTTTACTAAAATGAGTCTTTAAAGAGACTGATGTATTCAGATGTCCACTGAACAAAGAAGACCTATAGAAGAAAAACGGGACAGTGTTTTAGCTCCATCTACATATTGTCAGTGTATTTTGTGCTAACCAACCAGTCAGATGGAAGGGGAGTAGAGCAAGACCCAAGAACCGATCCTTGTGGGGCTCCAGACCCTTAAACAACAACTTTGACCTGCTACCTGAGTCCAGTCTTGACCTAGTGCCCCTTAGTGGTTTAGTCTTCAATCTGCTGGAAGAGGTGTTGAACTTCACAGCTGGGTTAGACCTCCTCATGTTGGAAGAGGTGTTGAACTTCACAGGTGGGTTAGACCTCCTCATGTTGGAAGAGGTGTTGAACTTCACAGCTGGGTTAGACCTCCTCATGTTGGAAGAGGTGTTGAACTTCACAGCTGGGTTAGACCTCCTCATGTTGGAAGAGGTGTTGAACTTCACAGCTGGGTTAGATATAATCATGTTAGAGGTTGTTTTGAACCTCAGCTACTAAGTAAAGTTTTCTTGACCTGATTCTACCTGTTTATTTTCTTCAGGTATGTGATGAACTTCTACAAGACGGGTCACCTTCATGTCATGGAGGAGCTGTGTGAAGTCTCCTTCCTGCAGGAGATTGAGTACTGGGGCATCGAGGAGGTCTGCATCAAGTCCTGCTGCAGGGAGCGTTACTACCGGCGCAAAGAGCAAAAGGAGTCTCTTGATGTGCACAGAGAGTTCCAGGCTGATGATGAAGAAGAGGACTTCATGGGTGTCTCCTGCCCAGCTCTTCGACGGCTCTTTTGGGACCTTCTTGAGAAACCAGAATCATCCCGAGCAGCTCGGACCTTCTGCACACTCTCAGTCATTTTTGTGGTGGTGTCAGTTATCAACATGGTGCTCATCTCACTGGACCTAGAGGAAGACTTTGGCATGAGCTGGCTGGGGGTGGGGGTGCCGCTTGTGTTGGATGGCGTGGAGTACGTGTGCATCGTGTGGTTCACAGTCGAGCTGGCACTTCGGTTCCTGTGTGTCAGAGATAAGTGCCGTTTCAGTCGAAGGATTCCCAATGTGATCGACCTGCTGGCCATCTTGCCGTTCTACATGACGCTGGCCGTAGAGAGTCTCCACAGTGGATCCACCAAGCTGGAGAACATGGGCCGGGTGGTGCAGGTTCTCCGCCTCCTGAGGACACTGCGCATGCTGAAGCTTGGCAGACACCTGACAGGTAAACCCAGATCTATCAGCACTCCTGATGTTAAACCTGTGAGTCCAACAGTAGGGTCACCTGGACTGGTTGGTCTGTGTGAGGTTGGTTTTTTTTCACTTGAGATTTAGCAGAAATTACAGAAAGTATCATCTGCCTCCATCTTCCAATTCACTTCAGTTTATTTCTGTAGCTCCAAGTCCCAACACACGTCGTCTCAGGGCGCTGAACAGAAACATTCTCATCCATCATAAAAGACAATTAATAAAGTTCTCTATCCAAGGAAGCAGCACATGGTGTTGAATCTTCACTTCATCAGTCGCCCATCCTGAGCAAGAACAAGTCAAGTTTATTTATAAAGCGCATTTAAAAAGAGCAGCTGTTACCAAAGTGCTCAACAATAAAATCAGTGGCAGGAATTAAAGAAAAAAATGATTCAAAGCGTCAGAAGAAAAACATTAAAACACAAAACAATGAAAGAGTAAATGAGATCACACTGTGTTAATCGAACATCAGTGAATACAGGTGTATTTTAGCAGAGATTTAAAAACAGGAAGTGAAGTGTCCTGTCTAATGGCGGGGGCAGATTGTTCCACAGTTTAGGGTCACGACTGAAAAAGCCTGATCTCCTCTGAGCTTCATCCAAAAGCAGCTGGTCAGATGATCTCAGCACCAGAGAAAGAACATCTGGTTGAAGTAGGTCAGAGGTATGAGGGTGCAAGGTCATTAATGCAGTTAAAGGTCAACAGGAGAATTTTAAAATCAATTCTGACGTGTACAGGGAGCCAGTGAAGGGAGGACAGAACTGGTGAAATATTCTCAAACCTACGAGTTCCTGTTCAGAGCTGAGCTGCAGCTGTTTGGACGAGCTGGAGACGTGAAAGTGAAACCTGACTGACCCCATCATAAAGTGAGCATGTCCACTCGGGTTGAAACGAAGGCATGGACTAATGTTTCAAGGTCAGATCTGGTCAACACGGTCTTAAGCTTAACTGTCTGCTTTGACTGGAAGAAGATTTTTGTAGAACAGAGTTAATCTGGTTATTAAACTTAAAGTCAGAGTCTAAAACCATCCTGAGGTTTGTAACAGACTGATTAAGATACGGCTGAAGAGAGTCCAGGTTTACAGGAACAGACAGCAGTACAGCTAGGCCTAAACTCAAGAACTCCGTTTTCTGATAATTGAAACTTTAAAAAAAATAGAAGCCAACCGTGCCTTAATGTCATGAAGACATTTTAACAGAGGCTGAATGGAGCAAGAACTATTAGGGTTTAAGGGCAGATACATCTGACAATCATCAGCATAACAATGAAATGAAAGACCATGTTTCCTCAGGATAGACCCCAAAGAGAGCAGATAGTGAAAACAAAAGACGTCCAAGAATCAAGCCCTGTAGAACCCCACAGGAAAGAGGCACTGAAGCAGATAAAATATTACTAATATTAATACAAAAGCTCCTGTCACTGAGATAAGAATGGAACAATTTTAATGCTGCACCTGTAATCCACAAAGGAGACAGTGGAAAGAAAAAACTCCCTTTCAACAGGAACAAACCTCCAGCAGAACCAGACTCGGGACAAGCAGCCATCTGCTTCAACCTGCTGGTTTAAGAGGACAGGAAGTAGAAACAGACAACACAGAATGACTGGTCCAGGTGAACTTTCTATTGTACAGGTGGAGGAAAGACAAAAAACATGTGGACAGGAATAATTACAAATACAAACAGGTAGAGCAAGAAAAGACAGCAGAGAGAGGACAAGTGGTCAGTTTGTCCTCCAGCAGTCTGAGCCTATAGCATCATAACTAGCTCAGGAAACCCAAGCCGACCCTAACTATAGGATTTATGAAAAAGGAAAGTCTTGATCCCAGTCTTAAAACTGGACAATGTGTCAGCCTCACGAACAGAAACTGGAAGTTGGTTCCACAAGAGAGGAGCCTGAGAACTGGAAGATCTTCCTCCCATTCTGCTGCTGGAAACTCTAGGAACCACAAGTAAACCTGCAGTCTGAGAGTGAAGTGCTCTGTTAGTAAAATATGGAACAATAAGATCTGTAATATAAGATGGAGCTAGGTTGTTGAGAGCTTTGTAGGTTAGAAGTAAGATTTTGAATTCTATTCTGGATTTGACAGGGAGCCAATGGAGAGAAGCTAAAACTGGAGATATATGATCTCTCCCAGTAACTCCAGTTAAGACTCTGGCAGCAGCATTTTGGATCAACTGAAGATGTTTTAAAGAAGTATTTGGACACCCAGATAATAAACCATTGCAATAGTCCAGTCTAGACGTGACAAATGCATGGACCAGTTTTTCTGCACCATCTTTAGATCAGATGTTTTTCATTTTGGCAGCACGGTGGATCAGTTGATAGAACTGCTGCCTCTCAGCAAATACCTGTAGTCTCACTGACTCTACGTAAGACTGAGACACTTAAAGATTGTCTTCTTTGTCTCTATTGCTCCTTTTCCATTAGCACCAGTACAGCACGACTCGACTCAGCCCGGTTCAAAGGCTTTTCCATTAGTAACGGTACTTAGAACCGGTCCCTTTTTTCAGAACCCTTGGCTCTGTGGTTCCAAACGGGCCAAGCAGGTACCAAAACATGACGTCAGAACACTGTCGGTCACTGAATGGTCAGGGGGCGGAGTCACTGGTTCAGAAACTTTTCACACTGATCTGCCTTTTGCAATTTCTCAGAACCTGGAGCAGCAGCTGGACCCATTTTAAAGATTTATAAAACAATAGTGACAACACCGTGGTCTAACGCTGAAGTGCAGGCGTCTTTGTGTTTGGTGGCTGAAGACAAAGTTCAGAGCGAGCTAGAAGGAGCTCTGCTGGTCTTCCTGGTCCTCAGAGCCAGGCCGGGCAGGGCGTCATGTCCCTGGCTCTGGATCCCGGCCGGTCTTGTGTAATCATGAAGGCCGGACCCCGATCCAGGCAGACTGGGATGGAGGGTGGAAATGACTTTTAAAAACATTTTATGTAAAAGAAACTGTCCAGACGAGCTGACTGAAAATTGTTGGATTGTATACCTGGATTATTGAACATGGACTTTGTTGTTATTTTATGTATAAAAATTTTTTTTTTTTTAATCAGTGAAGATTAAAAAATAAATAATTAAACAGTGCCAGTTTTATCATGAAATCCTGTTTTCACTTTAATGACTTTATTAAATAATCTGTTAAAGTTAACTCAGCTGAAAAATCATAAAAAGACAAAATTATTGGATCTCATGAATATTTCCCTCCAACATGTTTAAAGAAGAGATTCAGCCTTTAGTTCAACTTTATTCTAACACACACGTACAAATCACACAACGAGAATTAAACTTTACAGCAAAGCTAAAAAATAAAATAATTGTATGCAAGAAACAAAACCACATATTTAACTGAACAATAAAAGTAGACACGATGAGTACAAATACATGAAATGATGAAGGAAA